AGCACATTTGCCTCCATCGCGATACCCTAAAAATGCTTGTCAGTGACTTGCTGAATCCAGATACAGTCCCATTGAGCTCTTTGATCTAAATAAGGGCAAATAAGGGAATGGCATCAGGCTGGCTTATTGTTGGTGACCCATGTCATTGCTTACGGCCAGTGTTCACTCTAAATGGAAGGAGTCTGTGCTGAGGCTCTTATTAAATATAGTCAACGCCACCCTTGCTAGTGGGCTTTTCTTTTTCTTCTACATCTCTATGAATCATTCTTTTAGTAGCCCATTCTAGTATTTTGTTCAACAACCACTGCCACAACAACAATGCCCGACAACAGCTACAACAACAACAATAATGTCTTAGCTAGCCTTGACCGTGTTCCAGGCCCTGTTCTAGGGGCTTTACATGGATTATCCCATCTAGTTCTCATACTAGCACAAGGAGGTGCATCCTATCATTATCCTTATTTTCAGGTGGGGAAACTGGAGCTTTGAGAAGTTAAGTAACTTGCCCAAGATCACACAGCTAGTTGATGATGATGCCGGAATTCAAACCCAGGCCATCTGACTGCAGAATGTGAGCTCCTAACCAGTATAAAGCAAAAGCATAAACTTAATTAAAATCTACCTCTTTTGCCTCTTATTGAAAATCAGCATAATATTTCCCAACTTCAGAATTTCCACGTTCGCCTGGCCCCTCAGTTCTTTAAACACCCACAGTGGCTCACCGGTCTCTCTTCTGATCTCTCTCACTACACTGGGATGGTACTCATGTGGACCTGAAGGCTGCAAACTGATCGACCTGTGCTTCCCTACAGATTACCTCTATAACTTTTAGTGAAATCCATTCTTGGGCTCCTCCCCAGGAAGGTCCAACTCAGTGCCTGGAATGGGAGAAAGTACTGAAGCTTGTTCTTGAAACGCAACCTAGCTATCAGACCTCTCCATTCTTCCTCTTGCTTCCTAAAACCTGTCCCTTTATTTTCAGCCCTGTGCCAACCTGTATGCAGAGTCCAGAACCTCTTTGAACTTCCCCTAAGTCATCCTCTGCCCCCCAAAATTATGAGTGGGTGATATGGACTTTACTGAACACTGTGTAAGAGACAAGCAGGAAGGGGTTTCTGACACATACATCACAAGACAAAAATCCAAATTAGCTGTCTCTGCCTTTCATGGTCCCTTTTGCTCTCACTGACAACAGGACTTTTGCTCCCTCCTCTTTCCCACCAACTTCCATGTAGTGTTCAGCCCCCTCAGCTCTTTCTTCCCCTTTCCCAAACTTCCCACCCAGGAACTTCAAAGTCCTCTTCCCTCTCTTAGAAAAGCATTTGAACCCTGCCTCCTAAAACCACCCCCAAACAAATTTATTTTGTTTATCCAACAAATATTTATTGAGTACCTCCTATGTGGAGACATGAATAGTCACTTAAACTTCCTGCTTGCTTTGGTGGAAGAGGCAGATGATTAAACACAAATCATTTGATAATTTCATATGGTAAGAGTGAAGAGTGCTTTGAAGAAGAGAAGACAGGGCAGTGGGACAGAAGGAGTGAAACAGGGAGCCCTCCCAGATTGGTGGGAGGGGACTCCGGGAAAGTCTCCAGGAGGTGACATCTGAGCTGACTCTGAAATATCAATGAGGAGCCAGCTAGGTGAAGATTGGGAGAGGAGAGCATCAGCTGTAAATGTCCTGAGAGGTGTGAGCTCAGCAGGTTGGAAGAACAGAAGTGGACAAGGCCAGTGGCTGTATGCCTGGCTCAGCAAGTAAGAGAGAGAGAGGAAGGAGGTGAAGCTGGCGAGGGCGGCAGGACCAACCATGACGAACCTTGTTAGCAGAACCCATCCTCACACTGGTCCAGGGCCTATCCACCTTAGATGGCAGCCTAAGTGGGCACCTTGGCAATTTGAGGGTGCATTTTGGGTCTCACGAGTCCCACCAAGTGATTCATTAAAGTGCCCTCCCCATGAAGAATAGTGAATAAAAGTTCTTCAACTCAGTAAGTCAAAGAGCTTTCTCTGGTTATTCTAACATGCAACCAGAAGGGAGAACCACTGATTCAGAGCCCAGCTCCTCAAAAGATAATGTGCACATGAATCCCCTGGGGAGCTGGTTAAATGCCACATTCTGATTCTCACCCACGGTGGCTCAGCGGGGTCGGCCTGAGATTCTGCATTTCTCTCAGGTGACCAGATACTGCTGGTCCGTGGGCTGCTCTTTGAATAGTGAGGACCCAGACAGTGGTTCTCAATGTGTGGTCCCTGGACCAGCAGTGACAGCATCACCTGGGAGCATATGCAAAATGCACATTTCCAAGCCCTACCCCAGACCTACTGAATCAGGGACACTGGGGTGGGGCCCAGATATCTGTGGCTTAACAAGCCTTCTAAGTGATTCTGATGCAAGCTAAAGAACCGTTTGAGAACCGTTGACCTAGAGCACCTAAGTGCTCTCTCAGAGCACTTTATACAACTTGTCTGATGATGGGAAAGTGGTTGAGGGTAATGAAAAGAGAAGGGAAGGCAAAGGAGCTGATTAAACTGGCCACCTGCAGAAACAGCCAGGAGTGAAAGGACAGTCTCGGGAAGGCGTGGCCAGTTCAATATTGTTCAGGCAACTGACATGATATAGTGCAGGGTTTCTTAACCTGGGCACTATTGACGTGTTGGGCTAGATAATTCTTTGTTGCTGGAGGCTGTCCTGTGCATTTAGAGAAGGCCAGAGACTGGGGTGAGGCAGGTGGGGCATCTAGGGCGCACAATTTAAGGAGGCACTCTCTCTCAGGGACCTGCAAGTGTAGATTTGGCATTCGCATGACTCTGAGAATAAGTGCTTCCTTAAATTGTGCACCCTAAGTGCCTCACTGGCCTCACCTCAGTGCAGACTGTTTAGCAGCATCTCTGCCCTCTACCTGCTAGATGCCACTAGCAACCTCCCATTCCCCACCCTCTATTTTTGACCATGAAAAATGCCTCCAAAAACTGCCCCATGTCCCTTGGGGAGCACAGTTGCCCCAGCTGAGAATGACTGATATGGTAGAAGGCACAGCACAAGGATTGGTTACAGACTGAGGTTCTAATCCATGGCTGGAGGCCAGATGTAGATGGCGCTTCCACTCAACAGCAACACTATCAAGAGCAGACACTGAAAATACTCCAAAGATGCTCCCTCAGGTGAGAGAGGCTTCACCTTCCCTCCCAGTGGCAGCGATAGCTCAAAATCCTTGAGCTGTTGCTTGATATACGGATACAAATCCTTGATAAATGGAAGGCAATTGGAGTGCGCCTTTGATGCAGAGGGGTCAAGGTATAATGTACGAAAGTTCACTGCATATGGCAGGATTGGGGTCTTGCAGCTGAGATGAGTGGCCCAGGGTCTGGGGTCTGAGGACCTGGGCTCCAATTCAAGTCTCAGCCACTGAATCTCTAAGTCATGTAACTTCTCTTAAACTTCAATCTCCTCATCCATAAAAGAAAACACCTGCCAGACAGGGGTATTTTGAGGATTAAATTAGAGCACGTATTGTCTCACGGGAAAACAACCAGGACATTCTTTAATTCATCCAGTAACTTCTGCCCTAATGGGAGCTTTATGCCAGTTAGAAGAGGGGCCAATTATATGTTATAAACGGATTTGAAAGCACAGTGAGTCACCTGGGAAATGTGCACAAGATGCCTCAGGAGACCCGAGTTGAGGAACCACTCGACTTCTCACCAGCTGTGTGATCTCAGCCACGCTTCCCTCATCAGCAAAATGAAGAGGTTGGAGCAGATGGTCTCCAAAGTCCTCCTTCCTTCTACCATACTGTGATCCTGTGCATGGCGGCAGCGGACAATATGTCTTTGTCCTTTATTATTCTGCATTTGAACAACATCTTAGACCAAATTTGCCCCAAATCCTTCTCTCTTCTTGTTTCCTGCACTCCCACACACCGCCTCCTTCCAATTCGCACCTCCAGAACTCTGTAAAAATGAGCCGATTTCCCAAGCTGCAGCATGACTCTTCCCTAACAGGCGTTCTGAGATTCAATAATGATGAGAATGGCTTAGGCTCTGCTGGCTTTCTTCGAAGCCCTCAACAAAGATTGACTCACTCCCCTAACTATGGACCACTTTTCAATGAGGAGACACTCCCTTGTTTGGTCAGCAAGTTGAATCAGTCTGTAGAGCCGGGAGGGAAGAAGGCACCCCTTGCTCCCCTCCAGCCCACTTCCAGGGTATTTAGGGTAATAGGTAGTTACAAGGGAGGGTGACGATCTAGGGTGGCTCCACATTTCCACAGCTCCCTAGGCCCCCTGGAAGGAGTTGTCATGGAGAGAAAAGCTGATATCTATGGAGCTCCTACCATGTGCCAGATACTCTGCCTGTTAATAATTTTTGAGGGATAATGGCATAAGTCTATATTTAATTAGATACAAATTCTTTGCCATGGCCAAGGCCATAGGGAGCCAGGTAGAGCACAGTGACTTCATTAAGCTCATTACTTCACCTTATTGGCTGCATAATGTGGGTTCACCTGGCAGTGCTGTACCCTGGGTCATGCCTTGCTCTCCATCCTTCTTCCCATTTAGACGGAAATAAACACAGAGATGAGTCTCCTGCACAATGTGACTTCATCGTGCATAATTGTTGGAATGAAAACCTCCTGGTTGCATATCTGCACAATGCCAATGATTACAGTGATTAAATCAATCAAGCCCAATTTCATAATCATCAGATGTATAATTTCCCAACTTGTCAGGGCCCCAACACGTGGCATCCCAGCTGTCTGATACAGGAATCAAAAACACAGTATTAAACAAAACATTTTGGGCTAGGGTTAGGTAATTTTGTAAACTTAATACCATATTAATAAGGATGATGAGACTCAATGAAACTCCATGCAAATCTGGTTTGTGATTTCCCCTGGGGTAACTCACTTCAGTAGCTCAAATGTGAAAAATACTCCCATTCCCCCTAAGAAAGTATCTCACTGAATGTTTTATTCCCAGAAAGAATCATTCAGTCAGTTACATGTATACCTTAATTATCTTATTATTGTTGTCGTTATATAAAGAGCTTTGCAAGATGCATTAACTCAGGTCCTGCAGAGAGCTTGATGGCAATCTGTCCATCTGGTTTTCTGTGCTGATTGATGCTTCCGGGGTCCCAGGTTGAGATCTTGAGCATCACATTTAAAGCAAAGAGATCCTCAGGTGGGAAGCATGGTTTCATAGCCTCCGCTCCTTCTCTATAGCTAAAGAGAAGAAATTAGATTGATGTCAAAGGGGAAAGAAGAAAGATACTCTACTTCCTTCTGTGCTATTCACCTGATCCCATCCTGTTTCTCTACACGAGGCAATCATTTCATTTCCTGCTGCAGCTGATTTTGTACATTTCAAGGTACTCAGTTCATTCAATTGTGAAAATCAGAGATCCTACAAATTGCTAGGGTTTGAAACCCTTGAAAGCAGAAGAAAATTAATTTATCCAGAGTTGTGTCTACCATGGGATAAGTAATTTTGACAGTCGATGATTGGGATAGGGATGGAGCCTATGGAGGTGCTTCTATGGTGGCCATCAAAATTTAACTTCTAGACCTAGGGGAAAGTTACAATGGCATTTGCCTCATAATAAATAAGTCATTGTCTATATATTTGTTTTGCATGTTTTTCTTTATGTTTTATCTTACTACAAAATGTTTTCTAAAAATCATCAATCTGCAGATAATTTGTAAAAGCATTCACCATCTTAATTGCAACAAATGACCTAAAGACTTCTCCTTCTAAAGTAGGCAGAATAAGGACTCCCCCAAAGATGTTTGTGTCCTAACCCACAAAACCTGTGACTATGATTCATTATATGGTAAGGGGGCATTACCATTGCAGATAGAATGAAGGATGTTAATTGGCTGACCTTGAGATGGGGGATTATCCTGGAACATCCTATTAGGCCCAATGTAATCATAAGTGTCCTTAAACGTGGAAGAAGGATGCAGAGATGTTAGTGTTAGAGGGATGCAGCATGAGAAAGACTAGACTGCCCACTGCTAGCTTTGAAGACAGAAGAAGGCCATGAGCCAAGGAATGCAGGCAGCCTCCAGAAGCTGGAAAAGGCACAAGAACGGACTCTCCCCTGGAATTCCCTCCCCTCCTCTCAAATTCCCCTCCCCATAAAAGGAATGTGGCCCTGCTCACACCTTGATTTCAGCCCAATGAGATCCATTTCAGACTTCTGACCTCTAGAACCGTAAAAAAAATTAATTTGTTTGAGCTACCAAACCAATTGTGGTAATTTGTCACAGCAGCAACAGGAAACTCATACACCCTTTTCCTTGATAAGCAGCTATGCTCATCAGTGTACCACCAGCACTTTTCCTTAAGACTTCTTTTTTCCCGTTTCCTTCCCCTAAAGAAGGACTTCAGATTTCAGGTTTTCTCTATTCCTCAACAGAAACGTTTACCAAAAGAAGGTGTCTTATCCTCTAGAACTATTCAGCTCTGCCCTACTTATTGCTGTTTACTAAGTAGTAAATTTAAATACACATAGTTGGATCTATAACCATCTTTTTCTCATTAATCTTAGCTTTTTTTAAGCATTTCTGATTTGTTTTATTTTAGCATTTTGTTTTATTTTCATATTTTTGATTAATTTTTAAAATGGAAAGCACATAAAAGGAAAGTTAAATCCCCATAATCTCATGATTGAAAAAATTACCTAAGGAAAAAATATATTCCCACAGCAGACAAAACCAGCGCATGCCCAAGGTTTAATCGTTCCCCCACTGCATCTTCAACATAAGAGTGAGTGGGAAATAAACCAGCTCCCCCATCTCCTCTCCGCACCCACACCTGTCCCTGTTGGGGATAGTAGGAGCCATGTTGAACCTTAGAACTGAGAGGAGAGAAGAGAAAAAATGAGAATTTGAACAAGAAGCTGGTCCTAATACGGCATGGCAGGAAAAATTCACAGCACCTAGATATCCTGAAATACTTCAAGCCAAGAATTTAATTTAGAAGAGTCCCCAAATCACTGTGACTCCAGGTACCTGGCAGAAACAACCTTCTGAAGGGAACCCACCTTTGTCCAGAGCCTCGAGTAAATTCCATAAATAAAATCCCAAGTAAGACCGGTAGTTCAGTGTAAAAAATAAATAAGCACACATGGAAGGAACACATCATGACCTCAACAAAATATTAGCAAATCGATTCCAACAATGTAGCAAAAGAATTACAAGCCACAATCAAGTGGGATTTATTCTAAGTATGCAAGGCTGGTTCAACATTCAAAAATCAATTACTGTAATTCATTACATGAACAGACTAAAGAAAAAAAATCAGATGATCATATCAATAGATATAGAAAAAGCATTTGACAAAATCTAATGCCCATTCACGATTGGAAGGCATCATGAGAAAGAGTCAACAGAAATGACAGATGGCAGAGAAGGACACACAAAGACTCAAATAATAAAATTATCAGACACAGATTATAAAATGGTCATGTTTAACATGTTTAAAGAAACATACAAGTTTGAAAGTATGTGCAGGAAACAGGGAACTATAAAGATCCAAGCAAATTTGAAAAAGAACAAAATAGTACCTCTGGAAATGAAAAACATAGTAGTAGAATTAAAAACTCTGGATATGTTCATCAGTAGAGGAGGTACTATGGAAAAAAGAATTAGTGAAAGGAAATTAGATCTGTAGTCAATGTTAAGAATGCAGCCCAGGGAGACAAAGAAACGGAAAATATGAAAGAGAAGTTAAAAGGCATGGAGGACAAAGGAAGAAAGGAAAGAGAACAGGTCAAAGACAATATCCAAAATATATAAAGAAGTCTCAAATCTTATAAATAAGAAAATAAAAGCTCAATTAAAAATTAGCAAAAACTTGAACAGATACTTCAAAGAAAATTTACAGATGGCTAATAAACACATACAAAGATGTTCAGCATCACTTGTCATTAGGAAAATGCAAATTAAGACTAAGATGAGATATCACTATACATGTATTAGGATAACTAAAACAGAGGCTGGCCCTGTGGCCGAGTGGTTAAGTTTTCACGCTTTGCTTCGTGAGCCTGGAGTTCACCAGTTTGGATGCTGGGTGCCGACTTAGTACCACTCATCAAGACATGTTGTGGCAGTGTCCTACATAGCAGAACTGAAAGGACCTAGACCTAGAATATACAACTATGTACTGGGGGGCTCTGGGGAGAAGAAAAAGAAAAATCAGCAACAGATGTTAGCTTAGGGGCAATCTTTAAAAAAAAGCAAAACAAATGAAAAAAAAGAATAGCTAAAATAAAAAATACTGACTATACCAAATGTTGATGAAGATGTAGAGAAACTGAATATTTCATATATTGCTGGTGGGAACATAAAATGGTACAGCCATTCTAGAAGTTAATTTGGCATTTCCTTAAAAAACTAAACATATACTTACCATTTGACCCAGTAATCATACTCCTTAGCATTTATTCCACAGAAATTAAAACATATCCATGTAAAACCTGTACACAAATGTTCATAGCAGTTTTATTTGTAATAGCCAAGAACTGGAAACAACCAAACTGTCTCTCAGCATGTGAATGGTTAAACAAACTATGGTTTATCCAATCATGAAATACTACTCAGCAATGAAAAGGGAGAACGACTGATAAACACAATGACTTAGAGGGATCTCAAGGATGACAGAATGAGTGAAAAAACCCAGTCTCAAAAGGATACATACTGTGGGTCTATTTAGATAACATTCTCAAACGTAAAACATTTTATACCAGATTAGTGGTTGCCAGGAATTAGGGATAGTGATCAGACAGGGGAGGAAGATGAGAATGACCATAAAGGAGTAGTGTGAGGGAGATCTTTGTGGTGATGGAACACTTCTGTATTTTGAATGTAGTGGTTGTTACAGGAATCTACACATCTGATAAAATGGCATAAAACTATAACACACATTGTACTAATGTCAATTTCCTGGTGTCGATACTTTGCTATAGTTACACAAAATGTAACCACTGGGAGAAATTGGGTGGAGGGTACATAGGATCTCTCTGCACTAGTTTTGCAACTCCCTGTGAATCTATAATTATTTTAAGATAAAAATTTAGAGAAAGAAAACATAAGGTATGAGAATTTTCCACAATGGATGAATATTTTTCCTAAGAAACTAAATGAATTCCAAGGAGGATAAATACACACACAAATACCCTTACATGCACAAACACACATAGGATTTTTTTTTAACTGAAATAGGATTGTGCTGTACAAAACTCGAACGCAGTTTGCTTTTTCTCTTACCAGTTCACATTCCACAAGAGACCTTTTTTTTCCTTGTCTTCCCAGCAAAATGCCTTATGGATTAGTATGTACATATTAGTGTGTACATATGTGCACCTATATATGCCCATACATGTGTGTGTTTCATAAATGGCTGCAAAGTGTTCTATTTTATTTTATTTTACATTTGTGCTTAGCACTTTTCTGGAGATTTCAGATTATATTGAAATTTTTATGAAAGGAGTAAGCGTTATCTTTTCCCCAAGTTGCTGGGTGTGGAGTATTTGCTAATTATCAACCTGTGTGGTAGCAGTTTGGAAAGTGAGTTGAAGAACGTGAGCATTCCTTGCTGAGAACTAAGTTGGCCATAGCCAATCAAAGAAAGAGTTAGCTGCAGGTGGACGGGATAATGCTGCCCCAGTGGGATTCAGACCTCACATTCTCCCCCACCTGGCCTCAATCAGAACAAAGATATTGAGTCATTCTTCCATTTCCAGACTACTGAATCCTAAGTAAGACCTCAAGCAAGTTCAGCTATTGACTTTCTAATACCCCTCTTGAAGATTAGCAGATGGACCTCATTCTCTGAATTGTGAGATTTTCATTGAACTAACGTGACTAGAAGATTAACATTGCCTTTTTACATACACCAATCTACAATCTTCTGTTTCAGCTATGAGGTACCCTTTTTCAAATGCTATTCTTTACGCAGCTCAAAACTCAAAACTTACCCCAGTAAACATACACGAAGTTTCTTTTCTCCCCTGTCTCCCAGGCAATACACAGTACCATGAAAACCAAATAAAAAGATGGACTATGAAAGAGAGGTAGGCATCCTTGAGATCAATTGCCTCCTTTTAACAATAATTGTACCTCTCAGTACGTTGAATGGATTAATTAATAGTGATTGCAGAGCCCTTTAAAACCCACAGCTCTGTGTACCCATGGCATTAAATACTGTGATAGACTATTACAGTAAGCATTTTTAAATGGAGCTAATATTCTTCCTTATAGTATCTTTCAAATCTGCTTTGCCTTCTTCATTCCCACAGCCTCTGCCCTAGATCCAGGCCTTATCATCTCCTTCTAATGAGTGCCCCCTACCTCCAAACTCTCTCCTCCCCAAACCATAATTTATGTCACAGGAAGAAAAATCTTAAAATAGTTTTATACTTCCCTCTCCTGCAAGGCCTTCGATAGCCACATGGAAACTATAATTTTAAGTTCAAACAAGTTCTTCAAGCAGCAAAGCGGTAAACTGGAAAGAATTCTAGTTGCAACATATTCTTATTTTCCTTATTCTGCTGCGCAAGGTCATCACCACAGGATGCCATCACATGTCCCACTGCCACACTCTTTGTGGAGCCTGCACCTCACAGGCCGGTTAGCACAACGATTGAGAGCGTGGAGTGTGGCATCAGACAGCTTGGGTGTGCGTCCCGCCTCTGCCCCTGCCTAGCTGTGAGACCTACAGCAAGATGCTTAGCCTCTCTGAACCATACTTTCTTCATTGGTAAAATGAAGGTAATAAAGGTCCCCTCCTCACTGAGTTACTCTGTGGGTTCAGTAAGTTAACGTTTATAAAGCGTTTAGAACAGCACCTGTGCCCTATGGTCAGTACAAAATAAATAGGGACTTTTCTTACTTACTACTGTATCCTCAATGCCTATGACTGCACCCAGCACATAAGGGAAACTGAGGCTTACAGAGATTAACTGACTTGCCCCAGAGCACACTCATCATAAGCTTCTGAGCTTGAATTCGAGTCTACATGGTTGGCTTCAGAGCCCTCACTTTTGACCATCACACTACACTGTACCCACCTCATCGCCTGGCTTTTCACACAGCAGAGGCTCCTTAAATGTTGCTCCGATTGTTTACTAAAATATCTTAAACATTGTAACTTCGGGCCCTTTTCACATACTGTACTCCTAGCTGGGAACACTCTCTTCTCCAACAAGTACCCCGCACCCCAGCCCCCGGCAATTTCTTATCAGTTCAAAGTATTCCGAAGGGTTCTCTTCCTCCTCTGAATTTTTATGGCACTTTAACTGCCTATAAAACTCACTGGCACTGACCACATCCTGTCTGGTACTGTAACTTGTCTTTTTTATGTGCCTTGTTTCTCCAACAAGACTGTAAATCCACTGAGGATGGGCCATGTTTGCCTTACGGTTCTTTGTGTTCCCAGCGGGGACCACGATGGCGCCTTGCCCAGAGCAAACTCTCCTTAAATGTTTGCTGATTGATAAATGGGCACACAGGCAGCTAGAAATGGACAAAGTATTCTCTTATTCTCACCACTGCCTTTTGTCCTGCTATAGCACATCCTGCCCCTCACTCATGCCTGTGGGGAGAGGAAGAGCTTGGGCGCTGGAGGTTAATAAAACGCATCCCCCATATCTTTCTTTTGTGGCGGCCACATCTGGTACTTACAGAGTAAAGGGAGTATCTGGAAATGAGTTAATTGCATCCTTTTCTGGAGGTTCAAGGAAACCTAGAGAGGCATCCTTTTTTTCTCCCTGAATTTGGAACCAATTGAGACTTAGATACAGGAGGTAGGCAGAGGAATATCAAAATATCACCTATATTACAGGAAGTGCAGACACAATTCCAATGCAGACAAAGGCCAAGTTGGAGAGCGTGGCTTAGATCTGTTGGTCAAATGATGAGATAATCCTGACAACCCCCCCCCCCCCCCCCCCCCCCCGCCCCAGAATCAGGCAGACTTACTCAGTGATAAGCAGCATTTGATAACCGCTGGCCTCCCCCCTGGGGCAGTGCCCCAGTACAATTTAGTGTGTGGAAGAACAGAGAACATACGGGCAGCTGGCTCCAAAGAGGAGAGGGAGGGGCTGTTGGAGCAGGCTCAGAGCCATCTTCCAAATTTACCAATCAGCTACGTCATCCTTCCTCCACTGAGGAGGCTGGGTGAGGGTGTGATGGGGACAGGAGCATTTCTCTAATGCGTGCCTCCATGTGCAAACATAAAATCAAGGGGAGGGAAGTTCCTCCACAGCAGCCTCCATCTGTCTTCACCCATGGGGCTTAACCATTGCTTCCACCGTCAACCAGAAGTGAGGCTACCCTCTCAGGGAGAGAGGTCAGCAGTCCGTTAGAGCAACCCATCCCATTTTCATGAGGCCATTCCCCCATTACCAATCACTTTTCCTGAGTGGCTCCTCCTAGGACCTGCTGTGGACAGCCTAGATTTTGCTCTGAGAAAATTCTGGAACGAATCAGAACCATACACTAATTAAATTAACTCAAAGGCCAGCTGATATGAGTTGCCTTTTGTCCCCCTAAAAGGATATGTTGAAGTCCTAACACACACTACCTCAGATTGTGACCATATTTGCAAATAGCATTATTATAAATGGGATTAGTTGAATTAAAATGAGATCATACTGGAGCAGGATGGGCCTGTAATCCAATATGGCTGGTATCCTTACAAAAAGACAGAGACCCAGGGAGAAGGCCATGCGAAGACAGAGGCAGAGATTGGAGTGATGTGCCTACAAGCCAAGGAACACCAAGGATTGATGGCAGTCCCCAGAAGCTAGGCAGACGCATAGAACAGATTTTCCCTCAGAGTCCTGATAAGGAATCAGCCCTGCCGACACCTTGATTTCAGACTTCTAGCCTCCAGCACTGTGGGAGAATAAATTTCTGTGGTTTAAAGCCACTCTGTTTGTGGCACATTGTTACAGAAGCCCAGGAATTTAATATACCACCCTCGACCCCAGACTGGAAGGTCACTCTATTTCTCCCCACCCCCAAGTTACATGCAGACACATTCTTAACGTAACTCATCAAGTGTCAGAGAAATAACGCTTCCTTAAGGCATGGGTTACCCTTCTCAGGAGTAATGATTTCAATAGCTAATTTCTGAGAAGCCTTTACTTTCTTCTTTCCAAGTGTTTATTCTTTTATTCCTAGATATCAAAGTAAGGATGCAATGATTTGGGAAATAACTAAGAAAAGATGTGTCGAAGAAATACAAAGATGTGTGTTTTGACTTTCAGAACTTATTTTAACTTCCATTTTACACTTAATCAGCCTTTTTAGGGGGAAGGTGTGCAAAGAGATCTAATGGATATTAATATTGCGTTAAATTCATTTTGAGCTTTGTTAGCACATAGCCATCCTTAGACCATTTTCAATCAAGGTGTATATGCATGTTCTTTTGCTCACTTCACCATTATTTGGGATGTGTGTTTGTACATATTACCATACCACGCTACAATAACCAGTGATTATTTAGGGTTCTACAGCATTTCACTGTGAAGCATAGTTTGTTTATCCATCCTCTGCTTCTTGGGCTTTGGGACATTTTTACACTTTGGCCTATTATAAATAAAACATCTTTGTATATATTTTTTTTTATTCTCTTAGATTATGTCCTTAGGTTATTTTTTGAAAGATTTATCACTGGGTCAAACTATTAATAGTATGTTACACGTTGTCATGGTAGTCTCAAAAAAGACTGATACAGTTGATAATACCACCAACAATGTTATCAGAAGGATCTAAGTATTTTTAAAGTTTCATTTGGCAAGTGCATAATACCAAATATTATGCATTTCTTCATAACCTTGAAAACATTTTTTTAAATTGGCATTATAACCAAATAACTTACGCAGCTGAAGTACATTTGTTTTCCTGCCCCGGCTGCAGAGTAACTTCTTCCACATATCTGACATATAAAGTCCTTGGGAAAATTGTTAGCTATTTTTACGAGACTTTCAGTTTACTTGTACAGCTAAAATTCACCAAATAGTTCTGCTGTCACAAACTCTAAAACAGTGCACTTAAGAGGAGACTGGCTATTTTAACACTGAGCAAAAGAGAAAGGGATGGTTTGATGTAGTGTTAGGAAAGACACACAACTAAATCCGACTCAACTGAAACCCTTGGTGCAGACATAGGCTGTTTCTAACGGTGTGCTGCTGCTTCCGTTAAAAAACGAAAAAAATTGCAGATTTGGGTTTTTTCTTCTCTCTTCTTTCTTTCTTTCTTTTATTCTTTGTTTCATTCTTTCTTTCGTTTTTTTGGTAACTGTGGAAAAAAGGAAAGTATAAAGAACAAAATTTAACTTAATGCGTGCCAACACAATTCAATGGGGAAATTTTTCAACAAATGGTGCCGGGACAACTGAACGTCCAAATGCAAAAGAATGAATTTTGACCCGTTCCTCACATCATATGCAAAAATTAACTCAAGATGGATCATAACTTAAATGTAAGAACTAAAACCATGAAATTCCTAGCAGATAGCATAAGAGTAAATCTTCATGATTTTGGATTAGGCAATGATTTCTTAAAAAGAACAAGTAAAAAAATAAATAAATTGGATTTCATCAAAATTTTAAATTTTTATGTGTCAAAGGACATCATCAAGAAAATACAACCTACAGAATGGAAGAAAATATTTGCAAGACACTTATCTGACAAGGGGCTTATAGCCACAATATATAAAGAACTCTTCCAAAGATAAATAAACCAAGTAAAAAATGAGCAAAGAATTTGTATAGACATTTACCCAAAAAGATATACAAATGGCCAATAAGCACATGAAAAATTACTCAACATCTCTAGTCATTAGAGAAATGCAAACCAAAACTACAATGAGATACCACTTCACACCTACTAGGATGGTTAAAGGAAAAAAGATAGAAAATAACAGGTGTTAAAGACAACGCAGAGACATTGAAACTCCCACATGGCTGGTGGAAGTGTAAAATGGTGCAGTGGCTTTGGAAAACATAAGTCCACTCAAAAACTTGTACATGGGGTTTTGTGGCAGCATTATTCCTAAGAGCCAAAAGGTAGAAAAAAACCAAATGTCCGTTAACTGATGAATGCATAAACAAAATGTGGTACGTCCATACAATAGAATGTTATTCAACCACTAAAAGGAATGAGGGACTGTTACGTGCTTTAATGAGGAGGGACCTGGAAAACATTGTGTAAAGTGAAAGAAGTGAGCCACAAAAGACTGCGTTTGATATGACGCTATTTATGTGACATGTTCAGACTAGGCAAATCCAGAAACAGTAGATTAATGGTTGCCTGCGGCTGGGATGAGGCAGGGAAACTAGAATAGGGCGTGACTACTAATGGAGACAGGGTTTCTTTCTGACATATTGAATATGCTCTAAAATTAGGTTGTGGAAATGTTTGTGCAACTCTGAATATACTAAAACCTGAACTATATATTTTAATGGGGGAATTTATAATATATGAAATATATCTTAATAAAGATGCAAAAAACTCTTTATTAATTGTGCTCAATCCCACTGCCAGAGACAATCTCTTAACTTTTGCCGTATTTATAAACTTTACAGACCTCCTTTGAGGAGGGTTTCGTGAAGTCATAGGACTGTTATGATTAGACTATAGGCAAGGTATCTTCTCCTCCGCATATTAAGTCTAGTCTATTTATTAGCCACCGTTTTATCAAAGCCTTAGATGGTAATATGGGAGACTTATTAGTTAAGCCAAGAGCCAGGTCATAATCGCTGACTGCCCTTCTTTTTACCTTCTGTCCAATCAAGCTCCTTCAAAGGAACTGAATCCACTTGTTTCTCTCCATCCCATTTCTACCGCTCTAAAGGCAACACCAGTTCTCACCTAGACTGTTGAAAGGGCCCCTCTAACAGTTGGCTCTGCTCATTTCTTGCCCCCTTGATCTCCACCCTCCACTCAGCAGCTAGAGCACTCTCTCCCCTGCTCAAAACCTTTCAAAGTCTCCTTTTATGTTTAGACTAAAGTTAAAACTCCTTAAGTGACTCACAAGATGATGGGCTTCTGTCGACCCTTCCAACTCTAGGACTTTTTACCTCCCACCCTTATTCTAACCACACTTCATTTCTTTCAGCTTCTAGGACATACCACTCTCTCCTTCCCTTTTCTCTAGGCCTTTTTCTCCCGCTTACCTATGCTTACCCCTAGCTCCCACTCCCTACTCACAGCTCCCTTCACCAGTCTATGTCCAGCCTACTCCTCCTCATTCTTTAGGAATCATTGGACATTACTCCCTGCAAAACCCTTTCCTGACCTTCCTGGCCCCATCAAGTGCCCTTCTAAGAGCTCCCACATAGCCCTATATTTCCCCTTTGATAAATAATATTGATTGCATTAAATTGGAATTGCCTATTAATTTTCCCCAAATTGCCACTACCAGCTAAGTGACTTTGGGCAAGTTACTTAACCTCTCCATGCTTCATTGCCTCACATGAAAAATGGTGATAAAAATAGTACCTACCTTAGAGGAGGATTAAATGAAATAATATTTGTAAATCACTAAGAACAGTGCCTGGTACATTGTAAGTACAACATAAGTCTTTTGTTTTGGCTTTTTTTTTGCTGAGGAAGATTTGCCCTGAGCTAACATTTGCTGCCAATCTTCCTCTTTTTGCCTATGAGCTGCCACCACAGCATGGCCACTGACAGATGAGTGGTGGAGGTCCACACCCAGGAAACGTACCTGGGGCGCCAAAGCAGAGTGCACTGAATTTAACCACTGTGCCACTGGGGCTGGGCCCCAATATAAGTGTCTGTTAAAAGTGTTGTATACGTCTCTAGACTGTAAGCCCCAAGAGAGGTTTTTTTTTAATCTTATTCACTGTTGCATCCCCTGTAAATGTTATCGAATAAATAAGTACATCAATCAATTAATCTAGCAAATGTACAGAAAATTCAAAAGCTATCTCATATTTTCAAGATCCAGGAGAGATGGTGGGTACAAAATGAAACAAGTTTCCAAAGAAAGCAAGAGAAGATAGAAGCAAAAACAAAGGTAGCAGTTTAAATTAGTGGAGAAAGGATAGGTTATCACTAAATAAAACTTGGATCATTGGTTAACCATTTGGAAAAAGTTGAAGTGAGAATCCACTCACAGCATAAAAGTAATTCCAGGGGATGGCCTGGTGGCATAGTGCTTAAGTTTACACACTCTGCTTTAGCAGCTCAGGATTCACAGGTTCGGATCCCAGGCAGGACCTAGCACCACTCATCAAGCCATGCTATGGCAGCATCCCACATACAAAATAGAGGAAGATTGGCACAGATGTTAGCTCAGCAACAATCTTCCTCAAGGACAAAAAGAGGAAGATTGACCCTGAGCTAACATTTGTTACCAATCTTCCTGACCAAAAAAAAAGTAATTCTACATGCAACTATTAATTGAAAAAGAAAATCTTAAAAGAACCATAAGAAAACAAAACTCACTATTTGTCTGATCCTAGGGTGTGGTAGCATGGCCCAGAAAGTACTATTTATCCACATGGAAAGATGTTTTCTGCAAGTTGAGAGGTTTTTTTTTTTTTGAGGAAGATTAGCCCTGAGCTAACATCTGCCACCAATCCTCCTCATTTTGCTGAGGAAGACTGGCCATGAGCTAACATCCATGCCCATCTTCTTCTACTTTATATGTGGGATGCCTACCACAGCATGGCTTGCCAAGTGGTGCCATGTCCACACCCGGGATCCAAACTGGTGAACCCTGGGTCGCTGAAGCGGAACATGTGACCTTAACCGCTGTGCCACCAGGCTGGCCCCAGTTGAGAGCTTTATAGATGAGCTGTTAAGAATCCAGCCTCTGGGGGCCGGCCTGGTGGTGCAGCTGTTAAGTTTGCACGTTCCACTTTGGCAGCCTGGGGTTCACTGATTCAGATCCCGGGTGTGCACCTATGCACTGCTTGTCAAGCCATGCTGTGGCAGGTGTCCCACATATAAAGTAGAGGAAGACAGGCAGCAGATGTTAGCTCAGGGCCAGTCTTCCTCAGCAAAAAGAGGAGGGTTGGCGGCAGATGTTAGCTCAGGGCTAATCTTCCTCCAAAAATAAAAATAAAAAGAATCCTGCCTCTGGAGGCAGACTGCCTCGGTCCATATCCCACTGCTGCCACTTTTATTATTATGTAACTTTGGACAGCTTAGTTGCCTCTCTGGGCCTCGGTTTCCTCATCTAGAACATGGAGATTGTCAACCATACAATGTGTTATGAGGATTAAATGAAATAATATTTGTATATCACAAATGATATAGAATGATGCCTGACAAAACCTATGTTTATAACATAGATTTATATAAAATTATGTCAGCTGGTTATATCTCAGAGGTGGGATTATAGGCATTTAAGTTTTTCTTCCTTTTAACTATATTTTCTAATTGTCCTACAATAAGCATGCACTGCTTTTAAAATAAGAAAAAAGAACAAAGGTTATTTTTAATTTTTAAAAATTATTTTAAAATCTCCTTGTAGAAGAATATTTGTGGTCATGCCAAAAATATTCATGATCTATTGTAAGAGAAAAAAAGAGATTTATGAAATAGTATATACAGATTAATTTCCAATGTCTAAAAATATTTAATGTATGAATATATACAATCATTCATGGAAAAAACAAAGAATTTACAGTGTTAGCAGTGATTGTCTCTTTGTGTTTGAATTACATGTGATTTTTGTTTTCTCCCTTTATTTCCAAATTTTTCAATATGGATATGATCACTTGTGAAGGCAGAAAAAAAATATGATTTTTTCTTTTTAAAGAAGTAGCATGGACTTTGGTCAGTGTAAAGGATAGATTTTCATCTGAAACAGAAGGGAAGAAAGGATGGGTACAGATTAAAGGTGGAAGGGAAGAATCACATAGAGGGTCTATGATTTCTCTGAAGTAGGAGGTAAGATGCAGAGAACGGTTTAAGCTTTGGAATAGCTGTGGGGAATGAAAAAGGGCTAATTAGAGATAGGTTAAAAAAGAAAAATGTGTGAACTGGAATGAAGGGCCTCCTGTGTTGAAAAACCTAACTTAGTAAGAGTGTGTCCTGTCAGCATCTTGCCCCCAAGTGCTCAGAAGCACAGGTCAGGAAATCGAGGCAGACTGGAAATGGGAGGTGACAGGAAACCCATCATCTGTAGCAGAAGGTCTAGGTTATACACCAAAATACTGACAGCGCTTATTTCTGGCTGTTGGCATTATGGTTGGATTTTTAGTTTCCCTCTTTAACCTTACTTGCCTTTTTTTACAGTTGGCAGATTTTATTTATTAATTTTTTGGCACAAGAAAATAAACTCTCCCTCTAAAACTTATCATGTAGAATAACCACTTGTTAACATTTGGCCAGCTTTTTTTTTTCTGTAAGCACATATCCATACACATACGTGGCAGATTGTTGCACCCGTGACCTCCTCTGCAAATCAGAACATAAATGGCCACAACTCTTACTGTTTTTACTATTTGCTCAAGTCCACCGATGCCACATTAGGACGAACTCCCTTAAGTTCTTGCCAGCCACCAAACTGTCTAAAAATCTCAGTTCTGAAGGATGTAAGTTTTGCTAGCAATGCCAGGAATCACGGGAATTGGAAAAAAATGTCTCCAATCCAATTTATGCTGTTCACTTCGTTGCCGCGAGATGTCGCTGTTGAAGACCGGGCCTGCACGGTTCAACAGGCCTGACTCCTCTGTTACACTGAGTGGTCCCTGCCCACCCCAGTCCTCACTGGCCCTGCTGGGGAGTCGTGGCTTGGGCTCCACAGTTAGAATTTTCCATCACCCAGTCAACACTGTGCCAAGAATGACAATTGGACCAGGGTGTTTGGGTCTGAAGACACTAACTAGAGAGAGAAAATATTATTGAACAGGGAAGGGCCACATGCTGAGTTCAAACCAGCCTCCCCGTGTGTACTCATAGGTGCTTGTGTTGAGTCCAAGTCACCACCTTTTCCTCAAGATAATTTTGTTTTGGGGGTCTCACCATGCTTCCCCACTAATTCTATACCCCGCACTTTCCCCTATCCACTATCACATCACCTGTAGGAATACTACTTATTTACGTATGTATACTTCTTCCTTTCTAGATAAAAAGTGTTCATAAAGTAGACAGCACATATTATTTATCTCTGTCCAGTATGTGCTGGAGCCAGCTTGTACTTGCTTACGAGAGCCAATTGTTAAATTTTCAGAAATGTGAGCTGATTGTTAAAACAGCCATTATTGAAAATTATATAAATGTACAAGTAAATAAACAATATTGACCACAAAGTTAATAAATACTCAAAACACATCACTTCCTAATTGCCACATTTAACTATTATCTGTACACTTGAGGTTATTTGCATCTGTATGGTGAAAACACTATATGATGATGTGCTCCTTCGCATCTTTCCCCACTTTGTGTGCAGTGGTGTCCTGTTAGCAGCTTGAAATCAGGCATGGTGGGAGTATCTGCCCTGTGAAAACCAACAAACACTGCAAATCAGCTCCCCTAAGAACTAGTTCTTCAACCTTTACCAGCATACCTCTGGCAGTCTGCATTCCCAGCAGCTGGAATGACAAGGTGCCCAATAAATGTTGGATGGATGGATGGATGGATGGATGGATGGATGGATGGTGGGAAAGAATAATGGAAGAGGGGAGAGTTATACAGCCTTGAAGATAGGAATAACAGCCACGAGAAGATGTTGGCTAGGTGGGGTATTTCATATTCTGCCCTTTACCTTGCAGCCTTCCCACCCAACAACCTCAATTGTTCTATTTCCTTCTTTTGTCAGTTTCTCATGTTGTGTTCTTACATATTGTGCAAAAGAGTGCAATATAGTACAGAAAATGTGGTCATCCTATTTCTGAATTCTATGTTGCTTCATCACATTTCAAAAGAGGTGTAAATTTTGTATTCCTGTTCGTTCTACTAGAGATAGTGGTGTGGCAATACACAGTGCAGAACACAGGAAGCCCCACATTTACCATTCACGACATATTTACAACTAGATCCAGCGGAAGGTAAGCAGGGGTGGAGTCCTTTTGTGGCAAGGTTATCTTTACCACAAGTTCCGTTCCCATATACCAGCTTATCCCAGTGAGTAGAAAAAATAGGGAACTAAATATTACTACTAAAGCTAAGTATTCTGTGAAAATCTTATCCAGAAAATGCAAGAAGCCAGGTCTGAACTTTTTTCTCCTCACCCAAGCTTCATAATGTTCGCTACCGTGAAATTTCCCTTATACCAGTTTTTAATGTTTCTGTTGAGTCTTTTATATAGTTTTATTTTAGTGCATGAAAAAGAGGAGAGTAATTAGGAAAAAGAACCACAAGGTCAGAAGCCTGGGGCAAAGTGGTGGAGAAACGTTTATTATTGTTATAAATGCATTACTTCTCGAACAGCTTTCAAGGGGATCCTTTTATGGAAGTCTTATATATATATATATATATATATTTTTTTTTTTTTTTTGAGTAAGATTAGCCTTGAGCTAAAATCTGCTGCCAATCCTCCTCTTTTTTGCTGAGGAAGACTGGCCATGAGCTAACATCCGTGCCCATCTTCGTCTATTTTATATGTGGGACGTCTGCCACAGCATGGCTTGATAAGCAGGGTGTAGGTCCAAGCCAGGGATCTGAACTGGCAAACCCCAGGCCACCCAAGTGGAGCACACAGACTTAACCACTATACCACTGGGCTGGCCCCTTATCTTTGTTAATAAAATTTGAAGGCCGCTATTCCAGTGGTTGGCAGATAAAATCATGTAAAGACGCCTATTTTACTGCAAAACTCATGGATTAGCTGATTAATGCACGTGAGACAATGTCTATTTGCCCCTCTGTCACCAGGGCCTAGGGTCTACAGTATGTGGAAGACAACACAAATCCTTCGGGACATGAAAACCATAATCAGGCTCTGTGTAATTACTGTTCTTCCTTCCATAGTGGGTGGTAGGATAAAGTTCGCTATAGGGCAAAGCTGCATTCCCAACCATCCCAACATGTGCGACCTGGTGGTCACCCACTGCTCCCTCGGGTGTCATTCCACCACTTCCATGTTGATAAGAACCTTCTAAATTCTCTGATCCCCATGAGACTAGAGAACTGCTGGGAATCCATTACTCATTCATTTAGAAAATGTCTGTGGAACACTGGTTTCCATCAGGCCTGAAGGCCTTACTTGACCTTTGCCTTCTAAGATCCCAAAGTCTAGCAGGACAGACTGGCTTAAAAACTGGTAAATATGGCCCAGATCCTGCAGCTTCAAGTCATGTGCCTGGACTGTGTTCTATGAGTTCAGAGCAAAAAAGAAAAGATTTGAGAAATCAGCCCCAATGCAGCAAATCCTTCTCACCCAACCCTGTCCCCTTTGCCTCTTAGATAGCTACACTTTGGGATATTTTTTACAGGATTATATTTTCTTTTTATTTATGGAGCAGTTCCGTTATTCCTGTAAGAGCTTCTCTGGTATAGGTTCCCACAATCTGGACTCGCCTGTTCTTTGAAAGTACTTGGCTTGCTCCAGAGTCTCTGCCACATTCTATGTGTGTGCATATATGTACATGAATATATGTATGTTTCATATATGCATACACCTATTCACTTACTTTCTTTGTCCTTAATCTTCCCATCAATAACGTGAGGACAGTCACACTGAACTCCCTTTCTTCCCTCAGAAAGAACTGAGTGGCATACATTCCTAAGTTTCTTAGGAGAAATGTGCCTTTCCTGGTGTTAATATTATCGTCATAAAGGAAACCATGAGATCCTAGGGTGTGCAAGAGCTCATCCGGGGCCCAGATTTTCCTGAATGAAAGGAAAGGATTGTTGGAGAGGAGGGAAGAGGGAAGAAAAGGGCAAGAGCCTTGCTTTTAAGATAGGCATTACGAACTTTCTGCCCTCACAGAGTTATCTGATCAATGCAAGAACGTCACAGAATTATTGTCATCAGATAATATCTATAATCAATAATAGCACATTACTTTTGCATAAAGGAAAAAATAGTACTACTCGGTGCTATGCCAGAAACATGTGGTGCTCTACTCAGCGCCCTCTTCCACACTGGTGCCAGGGACATTTATATGAGTCTATAAATGACAACTGAACCACGTGGGTGTGACAGGCAGCTGGTTGCGTTCGTGGAGTTTTTAACATTAGGTCATATCTAGGTTGAGGGGTGAGGACAAAGAGAACTTCCTCTTCCTGCCCCACCCTCCCTCCCTCCATCTCATACCTGACACCTCGCCTTTTTTGTACTTTGTTAAAACATTGGATGAAATTTTATAAGAAAACAATTCGTATAAGAAAACAATTTCCCAGGGGCTGCCTCTTCCATAGGGTGGGCCGGTGCACCCCATGGGCTTTCCAGGAGGGAAAAGGAGTCCTGAATTCTTGCTAACCAGTTTCCGATGTCTGGGGCCTCTCGTTCACCTGGGTGGTGAGTGAACCCCTCACCCCACCACCACCATGGGTTTCCATGATATTAGAAAATGGGAAGTTGACATTTATACTGCTTTTGGCTTGGGCCAAGCCCATGCTGAAGAGGCCTACCTACTGGCCTAAATTTACCCCTGACCCACTTTATCCAAATTTGCTCCAACCAGACCATTTCACTAAACCTGACCGTAAGGGGATCCTGAGAAGCACTGAGACCCCCTCACATGTAGAGACTGAGAGACGAACCTCACACTTCCCCTATACCCTACCTTAATGCTGAACTCCTAAGGAGTTGGGTTGATACCTCGTGGGTACCTCAGGGTAAGGGAAGAAGTCTCTAAAATCTGCAGTAGAAACAACTTTTAAAACCCTCAATGTCATGAGAGTTTCATGAGGTTTGAGTTTTGTCTTTTGGTTCTTGTTTATTTTTTTAAGGTTGGCCGTTTTCTGCTCACCTCCCACTCGAAGCTACAGTGCTGTTTTCTTCTTGCTTTCTGTCTCCTCCAGTGGCCCCATCACATTCTTTGGTCCACGCCCTTGTTTATAGGTCTCAGTTCACAGATTCAGCTCTGTTTGTGGTCTCAGAAAGGATGGGTGGCACTTTTCAATCTGTTATCACACCAGATATAGATCTAGGAAAAGAAAAAAAGGGCCTCGTTTTGAAGAGGTTAGTAGGAGATGAAACAAACATAGATTGTTTTTTACACATCTCAGCTGAAGAGAAATCAGAGAACAGGGACCAGAAGGAGCATGACGGAGGGAAGGGAGAGGGGAAACCCAGTGCCTCAAAATAAAGACCCATCGGTAACAGCAAAGTTTCTCTACGGGCAGCCTGGGCTCACACTTCAAGGGGGAAATTTTTTTGAAATATGCAGACCGATTAATAACTACAAATTCCCATGAGCGATCATTTGAGAGAGAGACAGAGAGTGAGGCCCTGGGGAGGATCTGAGCTGTCACCTCATTGCTCCCAGCTTATCTCCATGGTCAAGTATGGCCTTTAGAATCAAGGCAGCATCTTCCTTTTTTTGTCTTTCCTCTCTTTCTCTGTTTCTCTCTTTCTTTCCTTGTTTCCTTCCTTCCCTCCTGGCTCCTTCCTCCTTCCCCTCCCCCTCCTTCAGCTAGCTTTCTCTTTTAATTCGATGTGAGAGAGGAAAGGGCAGCTCCCTGTTCCCACGGAAGTTCAAGGCTGCCCACTGAAGTGTAAAGACTCAGGGCAGCGCTGGATCAGTGTGGTGGTGTGTTTTGGTCACACCGTTTTCAGGGACGGAAAAACAGCTTTTGCTACTCCAGTTCTTTAGAGGTAAAAGCTTAAAAACCACTGTCAAGCTGATAGATTGAGAATAGTAGAAAAACAGAGTCCGGGAAATATGGGAGCTTGGTCCCTCCTGGGCGGGCCTGGGCCCTAACTCCTTACATGGGACACCTTGCGGTTGTCTCTTCTTTTACTCCAGGCATCGGTTCTCACTGACCCTCCTCACTGTGATTTACACTTCAAACAAAACGTTAAAGAAGGAAGGGGTCTTCAGGGTCCAGGCTGCCGGGAAACGGAGGAGGAATGGTGATTACCATCCAAATGGACTCAAAGGCACTAACCTCCTGGGTGCCTGACAAAGGAGGTTTGAAGCTCTTCTAAGGTGAGCCAGGAACCTGGGAATGAGAGTTTAAATGTGTTAAGGGCTTGTCCAGGGCCCACCGCTGCCCTGCAGCATTTACAGAGCACCCAGAGCCGAATTTCCGGATTTCCAGGAGGGCTCAAATTTCAAATCAAAGTGTGTCTCTGGATATCCTCCCACGGAAGCTTTAAAAAACAAAACAGATGCCATCTGGAAGTATCTTTCTTCCAAAAGAGAAATATTCTGCCCTTCCCTCTTGCTTCCCTCTCTTTCTCCTTCCTTCTTTCCTTCCTTCCCTCCTTCCTTCCTTCAGAGGACACCAAGACGTATATATTGAAACGAGGCCACGTTGAGAAGAGTTTTCAAAAACATTTGGCCAAAATCAGAACACAACAAGTTTCCAATTGCAAATCCTTGCTTTCATTGCTATCCCTAAGAAGAAATTCTGAAGCCAAGAATAGCAGGTCAGGAGAGGAATGGGTCCCAACCCACAAAGCTAGTACATGCAAAGGGATGGAACTGCTAGGCCGTCCCTCTGCATTGCCCCGACGCCAAGGGCCCGCAGCTTCCAGATGCTTTCCCAGGGTCCCTCAGGTCATGGTCTCTGCTCTACAGGGCCTACCGCAATCCTGCTCCACTCAACCTGGGGTCTGCAGCAGTGGTCTTTAACTGTCCAGTTTTTGAAACCCAAAGTAAATTTTGGAAAACTACATTCCATTGCATATCTAAAGTTTTTTATCATAAGTTTTAAAAGTCCAAAAGCATGTCATTTATGAAGTAGTATATATATATATATCTCCATGGTCCATGTAAAAAAATGCATAAGCATGCTCTTTGAGATTTGGAAATATTCTATATCATTCCATTTTCTTATTGAATTCATATTTCCATTCCATTCTCCCCCAACAGAATTTTATCCTAATTACTAAGGCGACTTGTCAGATAAGTTGTTAAAGTTTTATTTTATACTCGTCACAAAAGAAAAGTTCCTGAGAGAGCTGCCATAGCTATTCTCTATTGACAGAGACATTTAACAGGGGAAAAGAAGATATTTAGATGATCATTAACATACTGGACTTTTTACTTTAAAGAATTTCTGATTTAAGGTCATTAGGCTCAGGGCAAGACCGTAAGTTAGGCAGAGAGGATAAATCAGTATTCCAGAAGGATTCTTATTTCGTTAAATTCTATCAGGAAATTGACGGCACATTTTATTAGGAATGCTAGATACATCCCAGAAGGTGCTGCTGATCCTATCACACCACAAAGTTCTACTGCAGCCCAAGTTTGGGACAATTTCCCCTCTTATAATCTAATGTATTTTTATACCTGAAAGTCTTTTTTGATCATCCTATCACATTTCTCAGATAAAAATAT